GCAGCCGCTGCTGTCGTCTGTGCAGGGACAGCTGAGGCCTCGCCGTTTCGGCGAATATGCCCTCGACGCCACCTACGGGGGCCTGGTCGTGGTCGAGGACGAATGCGCCGTGTCGGGCTAGCCTCCTGCCCCTTCCTCGCGCGGCGTTCCCGTGTGCGATGTGCCCGAGGCTTTTCCTGTCAGGCTCTCGCCTGCGTCTGTCTACGTAGCCAGCCCCGCTTGCACGCTTTCAGCCGCGCCTAGATAAACTCCTCCTCCTCCCCCTTCGTCCTCCTCCTCTTCCTCTTCCTCGCCCTCCTCCTCCTGACGCTGGTAGGCGGCAAGCAATGCCGACGTTCGTGCATCCGCAGATTCTGCGCGTTTACCCCCGTCGCGAGGCGCGGTCTCAAGGACATTGCCTGGCGGCAAGGCTGGTGGTCACACGCAGAGTCACCGTTTTTTCTGGTTACCACCGTTCCTCTCCTTTGGGGTGTTGGTTGGCGGCGATGCTTTATTTCGTGCATCCACAGATTCTGCGCGCTTACCCTTGTCGCGAGGCAAGTGCCTCAAGGACAGAGCCTTGCAGCAAGGCCAGCGGCCCTGCGCAGTCACGTTCGCCTGTTTACCATGGTTCGTCTCCTTCTGGGCGCTGCCCGGCGGCAATGCCAGCTTTCGTGTATCCACAGATTCTGCGCTTGACGCAGGAGGCTCAAGGACAAACTCTGGCGGCAAGGCCGGCGGCCCTGCACGTTCCTACGCCCACTCGCTTACCACAGCTCGTATCCCTCACGGCGATGGCATGGCGAGGAACGCAAAAGGAGGGATCGCCTGTCCAATTCCCCTCCAGGGGGGAGGCTTTTGCTCATACGGTCCCCTTCTTTTCTGCAATTTCAGTCAACAGTCGGATGATTTCTCCTGTGATTAGTAGAAAATTAGATGCTGGAAGGGCACCCCCAGGTTGGAGTGATGCCCAGCTGTGGAGCGGGGCCCGCGGGCCTTCCCCAGAGGACCATGGGCGGCCGTGGCGCGGGTCCGCCCCGTTCACCTTCCGGGGGGCGACCCGTCCTGTCTGAGAAAGAGTTGCCCACCCATGGCACCCTTATGGCGGTGGTTCGCCAGAGCGTGTTTCCCAAGCTGCCACGTTGTGGGGCGGGTCCGTTCCCGTCACCACCATGACGGCGAGGTTTCCTTCGGTGGAGCAGACAGTGAGACAGCATGACGCATCACTCGCAAGGCAGGCGGCGATAGGGCCTACCATAGAGCACCCCCCCGTCGAACTTCAAGTGTCGAAAAGAGGTGGCTGTCTCGGGGTATGTTGACTACACGTACCATCCACCAATACCGGGTGCCAACAACGTTCAAGTTCAGAATATGGGACCAGACGCTCAAGGGCACCGCTCCAAGGATGGAAGAGCCCACGTGGCCCATCAGACTCGATAGGGCAATGCCCACCCTCGAGGACATCAGCAATACGCTACGATCATCCTCCTCATCCTCCTCCCGTTCCTCCACCTCGTTCCCCTTTCTCCGTCCTCCCCCTTGCTATAGCTGTCAGCAGATCTGTCCTCAAGAAGCCGGCGCCATCGCAGTCCCCCGCCCTCATCCTTCGCTGAGGGAGAGGGGCCGACGGAGAAGGGGATGAAAAACGTGTGAGAGGGCCGACGGAGAGGCGATCGGCAACTCTGCACAGATTTTGAACCGCCAGGAAAGGCCGCGGTTGCCCCGACGGGCTCTCCTCCGAAGTGAATGTTACCCGCGTGGGGGAGCTCGAAACATACACTAAGTCGCCTGGTAGGCCATAAAGAGAGGGTGGAAACCATCTCTGAGGCGAATTATGCTAACGAGCGTAGAGGGACACGAGGTGAGCCTCGTCTCCAAGCGGTGCCCATCTCGATACGATCGATCCGATGCAATCTCGATTCCGGCTGGCCCGATCCGACGAGATGTTGTCGATCCGATGCGGCCCGATTCTCACATGGCGTCGTTTTGCAGTTTCGTTCGGCCGATCCGATTCCATTCCGATTCCGATCTGATCTGACCTCCCGATCCGATGTTGGCCGATCACGCCTCCTCCGCCCCGCCTTCGGAAGAGGGGGAGCACTGAGAGGAGGCCGCGCCCAGCTCCAAGGGATCAAAGGCCACCGGCCCGGAGCGATCGGAGGAGGCACGATGGCTGCACCCCGGGCCGCCGGCCCGAAGCCCAGAGGATGCCGCGCCCAGAACCACCCCCTCGGGCGGGCACCCCGCCGCGGTGCCCAGGGCCAGTGGCCCCCCCGGAGGCCTCCAGGGGCGGACGAGGACGTCGACCACGGGCGACGACGTCGACGACCACGGGCGACGACCGACGGCGGCGGTGGCGGCGGCGGCGGCGACGACGACGACGGCGAGCGATATCGAGGACGAACGACTTGGAGGATGACGACGACGAGCGATATCGGGCGGACGACGACGACCAAGACCACGACGACGACGTCGTCGGCGACGATGTCGGGGACGGACGCTGTCCGCGGACGACTGCGGACGCCGACAGAGACCACGACGACGACGGACCGCGTCGGGGACAGACAACGGACCGACGACAGCGGCGACGGCGCCCCGAGACCGCGACTTCGGCGGCGTCGCCATGGCCGACCTTGCGGACAGGCCCGCCCCCCCCTCTTCCGCGGGAGGGGCCCGCCCGAGGGAGGGAGGAGGCACGTGTCGGCGACCTTTGCGGGGAGCGTCCGTCGTCTCCCTCCCGGCTCCCCGCTCCTGGGATGGCTCCTTCCCTCTCCCCTCCCCTGGGGGTTCCCCTCCCCCCCCCCCAAGCTCCCCTCTCCCCCCCCTCCCGTTGAATTCCTCCCCCCTCCCCCGCCCCCGTGGGATTCCTCCCTCCCCCCTATGAGTTCGCTGCTTCTTCCCTCCAGAACATCGCGGCAGGGGTCGTCAGGCCCCGGAGGCCAGGACAAAGATTAACCAGGACATGGGCAATTCGGGAAGCGACACCCGTTCCTGCAAAGTCCAGTGTACATTTGTTGTTGCTGCGCTGCTCTCTCTCTAGACTCGGGGCGGCCTCCAGGTGCCTCCCAGGGCCGCCCTGGGGACTCTGCGGTGGTCCCCAGGGCGGCTCCTGGAGGCCTCTGGAGGCCGCCCGAAGCCCACAGAGAGCAAACCACGATTGTGGCACAAGCAACAAACGACCACCCGTCGGTCGTCCAGTGTTTTTTGTTGTTGCTGCATTGCTGGATTCGGGTCTTTGTCCGGGTCAATGGGGGGCTGCAGGCTTTGCTTCAGGATTTATCCGGTTTATGCCGAGAACGTTGCAGTGCAGTGTTTGCTATTTCGCGCCGCCGTCTGTAAAAAATGGTATCGAGGGATGTTGGAGGCCTTGGCCTAGCATGTCCTGGTTTACGGGGCCTTGAGGTTTTTGCTCGCTTTTGCATAACAGCGTTACGCTAGAGGGTTCTCATGGTGGTAGACACGGAGCATAGAAGTGTCCCACAGGGGGGACCGATTATCTTGAAGCTTCTTCTCCATTATTCACGTTTCGCGTATCCTCACCAGACCTGAGCCGCAGCGTAGTTCGCTCCTGTGCGCTTGGTGCGTAATTTAGGTCGTTGCATTGTTGCTTCGTTCTGACGGCGCGCGGCTGTACCGTTTGCGTTCGCGACCAAAAAGTATCCTCACCAGACCATTCTAAGGAAAAGAGACGAAGAGACACATACAGTGAAACAAAGCGGACAACCAGGGTGAACAAAGAGATCTTGGGGAGCAAGGGGGTGGCTTTGGAGGGCCTCTTTGCGCCATCTTTGGGGCCCGCGTGGGGCGAGGGAAGGAGGAGGAGGAGGAGGAGGAAGACGACGACCACCACGGCGACGAAGAGCAGAAGGAAGAAGAAAAAAGGAAGATGAGGGCAAGGGCGAGGAGAAGGAGGAGGGCAGCGAGGACGAAGACAGAGCCCTCAAAGTCGCCTCTGGGAGCCCTCTTGGAACTCGTTTGGGGGAGCCTGGGGTCCTCTTGGGGCTCTTTTGGGTGGTCTCTTAGAGCCCTCTTAGGGGGTCCCGTTGGAGCCATAAGAGGGCCTCATGGGGCCATCTTGGAGGCCATCGATCAGAAGGAGGGGTGTCCCCGATTTTCGTCCCACCCCCCCCCCTTGGGACCATCAAAATCGCCGCTTGGTGCCCTCTTGGGACGCTCTTGGGCCGATCGTGGGCGCTCTTCGGGCCGTTTTGAGGTTCTCGTGAGCCTCTCTGGAGGCTGACTTGGGCCATCTTGGGACAAATCGTGATGCCTCGAATCGCATCGGAAGCGAAAAGGTGAGAAGGCAAGGATGATTGACTTTCTGTAGGTGTTTGAAGAATGGTGGCTTCTTGGGTGGGTCCTGAGGGGGCTCCGAGAGCACTTGAGACCGTCTTGTGGCCCTCGACGGGCCTCTTGGAGCCATGTCGAAAGCGATCCTGAACCATCTTCGACGGTGTTGAGCCGCATTGAAGGTCATCTTGGAGCATCGGAGGTCCTCTTGGAGCCATGTTGGGCCATCTTTGGACGCTTGCACCCTTCGCAAACCCAAAAAAAACATCAGGGAGGGAGGGAGGAGGGTACCCCTCCCCCCAAAGAATAGGGCTTGTGGAAGACGAAAAGAAGAACCCACTAGACCACCTCAGCCCAAAGGGCTGCTGAGATTTACTCAGGAAACGCGCTCTCGCCTCAATGCCAGCTACGTGTTTGGTCCAGGAGACCAGGCCTGACTGCACAAAAAACACGAAGCAGCACATGACCGTGCTCTCGCCCCCCTGTCCCTGTGGCTCGCCAGAGCGGCGCTCGGTACCGTAGGCGGGCGGGGGTCACGCTTCGCCTCTGAAAGGGGGGCTTTTGACGGTTGTTGTCAAAAATCCTTCGCATCTCATTTCGCCCTCCTCCGTCGACGGTCACGACCTCCTCCTCTTCCTGCTCCTCCTCCTCCTCCTCTTCCTCCGCCTCCGAAGGGGGTCTTTGGCGGTTGATGTCAAAAATCCTTCGCATCTCATTTCGCCTTCCTCCGTCGACGGCCACGACCTCCCATGGCGGCAGCGCCTCGATGTCGAGGCAGCTGGAGCACAGCCGCGCGCTGGCGCTGTCTTTGGTGCAATTCGACCTGCTGGACCGCGCGCTGCTGGCGGCCGAGAGGAAAGAGCAGGAGACCCCCCGGTCGTCGGCGTCGTCGTCACGTTCTTCGTTGCCCTTTCATCCTCCCGCTTCGCCAGCGACGTGCGGTGTACGGTGCTCTAAGAGCCTCCCAGATGGGGTCCGAGTAGACGGGGTCGGAGGGTCGCGCCGCATCGCCGATGCATCGACGATGCAGCTCGATGTGGAGCACGACATTTAAACGCCGATGCATCGCCGATGCATCGCCGACGTCGCCGATGCATCGGCGATGCGGCGCGACCCTCCGACCCCGTCTATTCGGACCCCATCCAGGTGGCCTCTAGGAGCGATTCGTGGGGAGACGCGACGCGCGCGCGCGCGTGCCCGCCACGACGGCGTCGACGAAGACGGGCGCCGATGGCGTCGCACGCGGCGGCGGCGGCCAAAAGAGCGACCTCCGCAGCGGCAGCTCGTGGTGGCGGCCCTGATCCGGGCGCTGCACAACCTCACCGCGGGCAAGCGGCTCGTGGAGCCCGGCAGGCTGCCGTCGTCACTGTCTCGGGGCTCAAGAGACGGGGGTCAATGCAAACGGGGGTCAGCCAGGGCGCCAGATCCTGCAGGATCCTGCGAAGACCCCCTCTGGCTGACCCGGGTCAGCGAGCCGCTCGTGGCCACGAAGCGGCCGCGCATGTTGGTTGACCCGGGTTTGCGAAGACCTGCGTTGCAGTTTCTGTTTCCTGCACTGCAGTTTTTGGTTTCCTGCTGACCAGGGTCTGGGTTGACCCGGGTCAGAAGATCCCCGACTCTCGTCCCCGCGTCCCCGCCGCACCTTCTCCAGTCGAAAAAGAAAAACCACGTAAACATAAACTTGTGGCGCTTCGCGCGGATTTCGAGGATCCGCGCTTGGGCCCCACGGGCGGCGCTTCAGGCGCAAGCGTTTCTTTCGCGTCGCTGGGGGCAGCTGTCGTCGCTGTCGTGTCCGTCGTCCCCTTGTTGTCTTAGCAGTCGCCGTCGTCGTCGTCTCCGCGGTCGTCGTCGTCGCCTCCTTACGGCGGGCACTTGGGCGGCAACCCACATGTGCTCGTGGTTTTCAGGAGGGAAAACACACACACAGACACAATCAACCGTCGATTCCCAGGAAAATATTGGAAAATATGGGAAGTGGGGGGGAAGACAACCTAGAAAATATGAGAAAATATGGGGCATCCTTTGATTTGTGTGTATTTATTTGTGTGTCCCAGAGCCCCTTCAGGTTTTCATCCTCCCAGAGTTGTGCCACGGCCGGCACGCGCGGGGGCCACAGGTTGCCGGCGTCTCTGGCGGAAGCCCCATCCTCGTTGAGTTTTCCATTCCATGTCGTCCTCTCCTCCCCACGAATCCTTTCCTCCTCCGTTCCTCCATCCCTCGTTCGTCCCGTGGTCCTCGTTGAGCTTTCCGTTTCATGTCGTCCTTTCCTCCTTACCTTCATCTTTTCGTTTCGTCCTTCTTCCTCATTTTCGTTCATTTCGTTCATTTCGTTGTGTCCATTCCTCCTCCGTTCCTCCATCCCTCCTTCGTCCCCGTGGTCCTCGTCGTTTCTCCTCTCCCCTTTCCCCTGACGATGGCACCGCGGGCAGGCTCGTTGAAAGAGCGGTGCTCTTGCCTCCCTCGTCTCATCCCCCTTCCGATCGCGGAATCCCCCCCTCCCGATCTCCTCCTCTGCCCTCCGTCTCAGCCAAGCGAAGTCGAGGTAGAGGTGCTCATGAAGATTGTCGTTCGCCATGGGGAGGTTCATGGTTCACTCCTCCCCTCCTGCTGCCCCTCGCATCCCTCCTCATCCTCCTCTCCGAAACTCCTCTCGGTTTGTTCCTATTCATCCTCCTCCTCGTTCTCCTCGATTCTCCCTCCTCCATCCTCCTCCCAGCCAGCAGGCAGAAGACGGCCCAACGCAATGGGAAGGAAGGGGCGGGCGGGGCAGGGTGTCGGATGTGGCGCTGGCGCATCCAGCTTGCCTCCTTCCTCCCTACTCTCCTCTCCTTCTGCCCCCCCCCCTCGCCCTGCCCCTCCATCCCTTTAGACCCCCCCCAACCGTCCACTCCCCCGCCCTTCTCTCATCCCCCCTCCTCCCTCGCCCCCCCCATCTACTTTGTCGCTGACTTGTTTCTTGCCATCCAGTGCTCTATTCTCCTTGCAATGCCTTGTCGAGCTGGAATTTCTATTCTCCCCCGACACCCCGTCTCCTTCCCGCAACCACCCCGTCTCTTCTCGACGACGACGCCCCCCCCCTCCTCCCCTCGCCACCCCATCGCCCCTGCTCCCCTCTCCCCCCACGCCCTGCCCCATCCTTCCTTCGCCGCGCCCTACCCGTCCACTCCCTTCCTCTCGCACACCTCGCCCCCCTGCGTCGTCGGGTGTAAGGACGGTCCTCCTGGCACGGCCCGCAGGGGTTCCGAGGGGGGCTCTCAAGGCCACCCGCAACGGGGGCGCGAAGAGAGCCGCGCTTCCGCGCGAATCGCGGCCTGGGCCGGAGCGGCTACGATTCTCCTGCGGGGGTGGCGCGGGGGCGCGGAGGCAACCGCGCATCGCTCCGGCGATCGCAAGCATGGATTCAGGGAGCGTGGATGAGCGACGGGTCCCATTTTCGTGGGGAATCGCGATTTCCGCCGCCGAACGAGGGAACGAGGCGGCACTGGCCGCATTTCGGGGAGGGCACCTCCCCCGATCTATGGATCAGGCGACCGCGCGCCAAATCCATGGATCACTGATCCATGTTTGCGCTCCCCCGAGGTGCGCGAAATTGTGTGAACCAGGTTAGCCTCACCCAGGGCTGAACCTAAACGGTGTTTCTCGTGTTCGTCCTGCTCTCGTTTTCCCTCGCCTCTGTCCCGAACCCGCCTTCCTACCGCAAAACACGAAGCCGAAGCGAACGCGGCCCACGAGATCGCCAACCACGGCCGCTTGGATCCAGCCCTGCCCTCACCCGCGCACCCCCAGTGGGGGGCCGTCCCCCCCCCCCCGCCCGCGCGCGCGCGCGACGGGGGGCCCGGCGCGGGAGGCCTCCGGGCGTCCCAGGCGCGCCACCGGCGAGGAGGAAGAGGATCTCGGGGGTCCCCGAGTTTCGGGGGCGGCAGAGAGGGGGGTGATGATGAGGGGGGGGGGATATCACGGCGTGGGCCATGAGATCTGCCCAGATTTCATGGCGCCTCTTCTTGTTCCACTGCGTCCCTGGCCCCCCCCCTTGGGCCGCGCACATGCCGCCCGCCATGGTCTGCGCCCCCCCTCCTGGACGCCCCCCTCTTGGACGCCCCCGACAATTGTGAGGTGATCGCACCGCGTGGTGGGTCGGTGGGGATTATTTGGGGTCACCACGCGGATATTCCGTGCTGACCTCCGAGAAAGTATGCTTCTGCCGGTTTTTGTACCTCTGTGCGAACGGTGTGCGCGGACGAGCGAATGACCACCAGTGCGGTGTGCGAGCCTGTTCTCTCATCACATCGCCTGACCCGCGCATCCAGGAGTGGACGAGCAGTACGACTTGCACCCTCGATTCCGACATCTACTGGGGCGCAATACGGCACGCGTCGCTATCGTGCACCGCGTCGCTATCTAGCGTGACGGAGTGGAGCACGTCCGCGTCCACCACGACGGAGTCGAGCACCACGTCGGCATCCTGCTTTCAGGAACGACGGAGTCGAGCGCTACGTCGCTTTTCAAGACCACGGAATGGAGCGCCACCACGAGGTCCCTCACGACGGAGGCGAGCACAACGTCGCCATCCGGCATTACGGGATCGTGCAAGACCGCGAGTTCTATCACCACGGTGAGGTGCGGCAAGTCGGTGGTTGGCACTATGGAGACGGGCGCTTACACGATTTTCTCCGCGATGGAGAAGAGCACGTGGCCGCTATCCGGCTCTACGGATTCGAGCACTTCACTTCTTTGGTGTCCGCCACAACCTAGCTGAACACCTCGCCGCTGCACAGCACGACGGAATCACGTGATACCACGGTGTCTACCACGACGAGGTTGAGCAGCACGTCGCAATCCAGCACTACCCAGCAGCGTGAGTGTGTCATAGTTTCAGCCATGCAGCGTGTCACGGACTCGGTGTGGCAGCTCGTGTGACCAGCGCTTGTGTGCGTGTCCCACTTTGTTGCGTGTCACGGACTCGGTGCGGCAGCTCGGATGGCTTACGTCAGGATGTCACGGTTTCCGCCTTGTGGCGTGTGGCGGTCTCGGCACCAGCACGACTTTGGCATCCAGGAGGTGAAAGTGCAGGGTTGCGAGCACCGCGTCGGAGTGCAGCACGACGGCGACGGACCGGACGACGGAAGGCGGCGCCTCGGGGAGCCGCAGCACCCCTCCGGCATCCAGAGCTGGGGGGCGCTGCGCTGCGAGCTGCGCGGCCACGAGCGGCACCTCGGCTGGAGCAGTGCGAGCGAGGCCGGCAGTGTGGATGTGCTCTCTCGTGTTCCCCTCCCCCCCCCCCCGGCGGGGGCGGAGGGCGCGGGGGGGGGCGCGGAGGGCGCGGGGGGGGGGGACCCTGGGCCACCAGGCCCACAGCGCCGGCGGCCGCGGGTCGTCGGGGGGCAGCCAGCAGCCCCCGACGGCGGCGCGGAGGAGGCTCGCGGAGGGGAGGCTCCCCTCCTCCTCCTCCTCCTCCTCCTCCTCCTCCTCCCTCCTCCTCCTCCTCCTCCTCCTCCTCCTCCTCCTCCTCCTCCTCCTCTCCTCTTCCTCTTCCTCTTCCTCTTCCTCCTCTCCTCCTGCTCCTCCTCTCCCCCCTCCTCCTCCTCCTCCTCCTCCTCCTCCTCCTCCTCCTCCTCCTCCTCCTCCTCCCCCTCCTCCTCCTCCTCTTGTGAAGGCCTCTTGTGCCTGCCAGTTCTCGTGGTTATGCACGGAGCTTGGGAAAGCCAGTCTTAAGGTAGTGTGTGGGTTTTCCATGTTTGCCTTGCCAGTGCCGGGAATACCAGATGTTTCCGTCGTATTCGATTGAGACATTTGTATGTGTTTCGTGGTGCCGTTGCTCTTGCAACGATTCCGTGACACATGCATGTGTTTTGTTATGCGAGTACAGGGTTGTTGTTTTGGGCTTGGCAGGCTGTGTAAGGAGTACATGTGGTGCGTCGCGGTCACCACACATGCGAGTCGTACAAAACGTTAGGTCAGACAACGGAGGAGGAGGAGGGGGAGGAGGAGGAGGACCAGCAGTTGGCATACGGCCGAATCTCGCTTGCCTCGCACCGCTACCTTGGGGCCTATGCCTCCGCGCAGCTAGCAGAAGGATCTACCAGCGCCTTCCCATTGCCTTTGGCATGGCTGCAATGCTGATGACGGCTGGAGCGCTTCCAAGTTGACTCAGCGTGGGCGTTCTCAACCTTTTTTGCGCGATGAGGAGGAGAAGGAGAAGGGGAAGGGGAAGGAGGAGGAGGAGGAGGAGGAGGAGGAGGAGGAGGAGGAGGAGGGGAGAGGAATCCTCGTAGTCGTCGTCGCCGGAGGAGGAGGAGGAGGAGGAGGAGGAGGAGGAGGAGGAGGCGGAGGAGGGACGGGAAGGACCACGGCGCGGAGGAAAGGCCAGGAGGCCTGTGGCGACCCCGGGAGGCTACTGAGCCGCTGGGTGGCCCTCGACTTCTCGCGGTTCGGCTTCCGGTTCCTGACGCCGCTGGTGAGGAGACGCGGTCGCTTGTAAGTAGAAAGACTTGGCATCGCTCGGACGTGTGTATTTTTTTCTCGGCGGGAGCCATCGAGGACCATCCTGGACAATCGAGCAAAAAAAACACGCACGAAACCGAAAAATGCACAGAAAATGGACGTCCGAGCGATGGCAAGGAAACATCGGGGTCCCCGAAACGGTGTGGTGACCACACCGATTGGTGAGTCAGTATACACGTGGGGCCATCAGGACGGGACTAGGGCGAGCATAGATCCGTCCCAGAGCGTTCCGGAACGCCCTCGAAGCGTTGCGAGAAGCTCTGAGAAGGCCGCGGCGTTCGATACATCCTCCAGAGCCGCCGGATCTCAGAGATTCTCGATTTATCTTCACCCGATTTGATCCTCGTCTTGGCTTCGTCTGAGTCACCGCACGGCTTGGGCACTCGGCTCTGGGGACGACCCCGGACGACCAGGGCATCCGAGGTCCCAAGACCGTGCGGTGACAGACCGCGCGGTGAGTTCGTCCGAGGTCACAGCGCGGTCCGTCACCACCATGTTTTGGGGCCCCAGAGAGAGCGCCCCGGTCCGCGGCCGCCGCGGATCGGAAGGAGGAGGTGCAGGATCGCCATGAGCGAAAGGGGTCGTGAGGGAAATGAGTCCTGGAGGTTTTTGACACAGTTTTCGGGCTCCAAGGGCCCCTCAAGGGCCTTGGGACCGTCAAAGAACGATCCAAGGTGAAAAACTCAGGACCCATTTCATTCGATCCAGAGGAACGAGGCGGAAGGGGATGGAGGAGGATTGAGGTGGAGGTGCAGGCGGGAAAAGGAAGAATCAGAGGCGGAAGGAGGACCCCGACGGGGAGGATGGAGGAGGCGGAGGAGGAGGAGGGGGGGACTTCGAGCAGGGTTCCCGCTGTTTCGCTCCCTGGATTCGGGGCACCTCTGGAAGCCCACCAGGAGCCCTTGAAGAGTTCCGAAAACCGCCCAGAATTGATTGACGTCCGAGAGCATGTTGGATGCCACCTGAAAGACCTCGGCGGCCCTCCGACGATGACCACCACGCACTATCCTGAGGTGGAGGAGCCAGAGGGGTAGGGAGGGGCCGGGGAGAAGGAGGGAATGGAAGGCGTTGGAGACGGAGGATAATGTGAGGATGAGGCAGAGGAGAGGAAGAGTTGACGTGGAGGATGAGGGGGAACGGAGCAAGTAGGAGGAGGAGGAGGGAAGGAGGAGGAGGAGGAGGAGGAGGAGGAAGGAGGATGCCGGGGAGATCACGGGATTACGGGATTCAAGCCACAACCGTCGTGGCAGCAGCAGGACCCCGCAGATCGCAAGAGCCCACAGGGAAGCCCCAGGCCTGACGGCGGCAGGCGGGGCCTTGCGCCAGCGAGCCGAAGCTGCCGGAGCACGGCTCAGTCCTTGACCGATGGGCCCCCCTCATCAAGGTCGGGCCCCGCATCGGCACCTCGGCGCAGGAGATGTGGTGCAGTATAGACCCGTGCCAAGAAGCATCCTGCTTGCCTCCAGGGTGCTCTGGGCTTCGTGAGCTTCGATTGGTTTTCTATGAAAAGCGTGACGTTCCGACACCAGAAATCAGTGGACGTCCTGGGGTCTCAGGGTTGGGTTTTTTCTTGTGGAAGGTTCCTCGTAGACTGGCCTCCACGGTACGACGACCCACTGGCGAGGCAGTGCATGATGCCGTTGCCATCGGCGACGCCGCCGAAGCAGATCGATCCCCCTCGCGTGCACGGCGAGGCACGGCCCGTCGGCGCAATCGGGGCACCGCCGCCGCCCAGTACGCAGCACCCGGTGGAGGTTGCGTCCTCCTGCAGCTCCTTCTCCGCGGCATCGCCGAAGCCCTCACCAGGCAGGGTCTTCGACATCCTCGTCAGGACAACGCGTCCCCCCCTCGAACTCCACCTGCATCACTTCTGCTGTTTTTACGAGTACAATTTCCCTTAGCATTAGTACTATTACTCTTCTTCTGAATAATATGATTTGTAATACTATTATTACTAATCGTCCTCTTAGTCTTCTTAGTTTTCTTCGTATTGCAATTATGATTCTTCTTCCAACAGCAGCACACACGGCGCCAGAGGGAGAGGCGGCAGGGGCTTCGCGAACGGCACCACGCTCATGATCAGGAACATCACTCCCGTGCTGTTCTCCACTCATCAGCAGCGTCCACCAGTAGGACCTGAGGAGCATCGTCAGCACACCACCGAACACCAGTAACCAATACTGGCGCTTTAGCTCGCAGCCGAAGGGGAGGTCCCAGATTTTGACGGCACTCGATCCGAGGGCCTTCCTGCACACCTTCCAGCGTGCGGGTGCACGTCGTTGCCACGCTTTGCCCACGCGCATCAGCATGGGAGGCCACATTACGGCGAAGAATGTCTTCGGGAAGCGGTTTGCGGCCTTTCAGTTTGGCCGCCAAGTACGGCACGATGGCCAACACGCGGTCCGCGAGCTCACTCGACGACCCGAGGAGGAGCTGGACGCCGGCGAGGACGGAAATCGAAGTCGCCGCCGACCCGTTCCAGCTCGCCCTTCCACTCGACAATTTACACGATCGGCGCACAGCCTGGCCCAGTCCCGCCGAGCCTTGCGGTCGGCAGCAGCTGGGCGCCCGAGGCTTATGATGTTCCAACTTACTTTAGTCTTGATCGCCAGAAAGAATTTCGAGCACCAAACAAAGTACCGAAACTCGGGGGTTTTCACGTGTTGGGCCCTGGGAGACACTCGTCCGGCATTGTGTCGACACTCTTTCGACACTTTTTCGGGTGATCCAAATTATTTCTGGGATGTGGTCCTTAAGTGCGATGGGAGCAACATAACCCGAGGCCTCCTCCTCCTCCTCCTCCTCCTCCTCCTCCTCCTCCTCCTCCTCCTCCTCCTCCTCCCCAGCCTCCTCCTCCCCAGCCTCCTCCCCCTCCTCCTCCTCCTCCTCGACGCACAGTGGCGCGCCGAGCCGCCGCTGGCCAGGGGCGAAGAAAAGGCTGCGGAGGCAGGCGGGGAGCACCACGGCCAGAGCCACAGCGGAGGAGGCTGGGGAGGGAGGGAGGCTGGGGAGGGTGGGAGGGAGGAGGAGGAGGACAAGGAGGAGGAGGGGGAGGAGGAGGAGGAGGACAAGGAGGAGGAGGGGGAGGAGGACGAGGCTGAGGGAGGAGGAGGAGGCAGAGAGGAAGAGGAGGAGGAGGAAGAGGAGGAGGAGGAGGAGGAGGGAGGGAGGGAGGGAGGGAAGGGGAGGGAGGGAGGGGGGACGAGAGGGAGGGATGGGAGGGTCGGGGAGGGAGGGAGGGAGGGAGAGGATGAGGAGGGAGGGGAGGAGAGGAGAGGAGGAGGAGGATGTAGGGAGGTGAGTGAGGAGGGGGGGTGATGGTGAAGCGGAGCCGAAGCATGTGAGCGAGAAAAGAGAAGACGTGGAGAGAAGAGGGACGGACGAGGAGGAAAGAGGAGGAGGGAGCAGGAGGAGGGAGGGTGGCGACGACGAGAAGAAGGACGACGCGCAGGTGGTAGAGGACGGGGACGAGGACGAGCCCCGCCTGGTCTCAAAGCTGGGCAGAGTCAGGGGATACAGAAGAGTAGCAGGAGGAATTTGAAGGGACAGATGGTTTCTGCAAGCGGGGAATGGCCAAGGTCGCCGTGGGGAAGATCGCATCGAAATGCTTGAGAAGGAGAAGGAGGAGGAGCCAGCAGCAGCATCTAGAGAGCCAGGGACCGGGGAGCTCTCGGAGTGGAAGTAGTGGTGGGGGGGGACGGAGGGAGGGAGGGAAGAGGGAGCACGCAGAGGAAGGAGGGAGAAGGGACGGAGGACGCGGACGCAGGACGAAGAGGCGGAAGGAGGGGGGACGAGGGGGATTTGGAGAGGAGGGAGGGGGGATCAGGAGAGGTGGGCGGGAGGAGAGAGAGGATGAGGAGAAAGAGGAAATCTGTAGAAGGAGGAGGAGGAGGAGGAAGAAGAAGAAGAAGAAGAAGAGGAGGTAGAAAAAGGAGAAAGAGGAGATCTGTAGAAGGAGGAGGAAGAAGAAGAGGAGGGCGCGGCAAGGGGCGGTCGGGGGGCCCGGGGCGCGCAACCTTGTCTGCGCGAGGAAGCTCATCGCCGATTCCCACGCCCCGGAGGCTGCGAGGCCCGTCTCCCCCCATCTCTCTGGGGCAGGTTGGCCTTGGCTTCTCGCCTACTCTTCGCCACCTCCTCCTCTTCCTCCTCCCCTCCTCCTCTTCCTCCTCCTCGTTCCTCCTCCTCCTCCTCCTCCTCCTCATGCCTCCTCCCTCCTCGTTCGCTCCTCCTCGTTCCTCCTGCTCGCCCGCTCATCCGCGTGCCTCCCGGCTCGCTCGCTCTCGCGCTCGTCCTCTCCTCCATCCTTTTTCTTTTGATCGATACTTCCTCACGAAACGCACCCCGAGGCGCGCTGGTGGAGCGGGCTGGGTGTTCCGCCCCCAGCTTCACACCACTTCTGTTCCCGAGGCTCGAGGTTCGCAGCAGCTGCACGGATGGAGGGGGGATGTTTTCAGAAGGTTCGTTATCGCCACAGCGCGGCGCACGCGTGACTCAAAGCTTCTGCAGAGTTGCAGAGATCGGCGGCTTCTCTTCTTTGGTGTATGAGGCTCTCGTCCCAGCGCCGCGCACACTCGTGCCAGAGGATGGACGGGGGTTGTCTTCAACATGGGGCTCTCGCAGCAGCGCCGAGCACAGCCGTTCTCAAAGTCTGCAGTTGCTGCAACGATTGACGGCCGGTCATTTTCGATACGGGACTCCTCGCCGTAACGCCGCGACCAGTCGTCTTGCAAGGGTTGCAAGGGCTACAGGGATGGAGGGCGGCTGATTTTCAATAGGGGCACCTCGCCTCAGCACCGCGCACCTTCGCCCTAAAAGCTTGTTTCGCCCACAGGGATGGAGAACGCGTCTTGTTCGAATGGACAGTTCGTGTGATATTTCTCCAAGCTGGCAACAAACTTGAGGCAGCTCGTGTTCAGAATGGGTTTATCAGCAGAGATGTCTTCGAAGCTCACGGCCACGAGCGTTACGTTGTGCAACCGTTGCACAGATGGGGCGACCCTCTTTTCAAAACGATCTCTGTGGACCCCTTATTGAATTGTAGGATCATGCGTCTACGCATGGGTTATTAGACGCTGGATGGATGCAAGGAGCTTCATTTTTCAAAATGGGCCCCCCCGCCTTACAGGCAGACCCATCAGGTGTTGTTTTTCGAGGGGCGCAGTGAAAAGAAGGCGTGCAGGAACTTGGGAAGAGGGGGCTTGGGACGGGAGGGTGTATTTCAGCATCGTTGATGCATATTGGTTTTACTCTGCCCCTCCCCCTCCCCCGCCCACATCCAGTTCACTCATGCCTCTCATGTTCGTTCTTCCTCTACCTGCTCGATCTTCTACTCCAGTGCATTCCTGCCTCTCGTCCTCACTCCTTCTGTCCATTTCCTCGCTCTTCCTCATTCTCCTCCAGTCCGTTCCTGCTGTTTCTTCTCCTCGTCCCTCCTCTTCCTCTTCCTCGTCCGCCTCGCTCGCCATTAGATTCCTCCTTCTTCCTGCCCCCCCTTTTCGTCCTCCATTGCCTTCCCTTCTCATGCGTCTCCCTCCTTATCCTCTTCCTCGCTCATCGTATTCCTCCTCCTTCAGGTCGGGCGCGTGTTTCGCCCGCGGAGCGACCCGCCTGGTTCCCGGACATCCGGACATCCGGCGGATTGATGTTTTCCAAGATTGTGTTTTCACGCATTGCAGCCGCACAGTGGGAATCACGGCGGGCCCTAGGTGGAAGTTTGCACGCAGATGTTGCAAGCAGTGGGTGTTAGGGATATTGCCTCGAGAAGGATTGGTACCAATCGTTTCGATGTTTTTGTTGGGGACGTACTTGCGCCCCTTGAGGGATTAGGCAGGCCTGGAGGCCAGCGAGAGGCCTGTTGAGGTCCGTGGGGCACGAGATGCGTGAGGGGTGTGCCGAATTGGGGCTTCCAGGAACCATCTCGGGGCCAGCTGAGCGCCCAACATGCACGAAGTGCGTGATGGGTCTGCCGAATTGAAGTCCCCGTCAAAACGGAAGGACAATCCACTCGTATTCTCACTTCTCCCAGAAGCCTCGAGGCCCAAATTGCTTGTTGTTCTTGCATGTCCCAGGAGCCTGACAGCGAAGATCACTCGTATTTTCAGGTGTCCCAATGACTCTGGGACAGGAGTTGCGTGAGGGGTTTATAGAATTGAGCCCTTTGTGGCCCCCGCAGCGCATATCTCTTTTATTTTCGTGCGTCCCAGTAGAGTGTGGGGCAGGAAAGGCAGGAAATGCGTGAGGGGCGTGCCGAAATGACAGTGTCGTAGCCATGAAGGCGTTGTTCACTAGTATTTCTACGCGTCCCAGAATAAGAGCAGGCAGGGCATGCGTGAAGGGTGCGCCGAAACGCCGCTCTCCCAGAGCCCTAAGGGCACACCTCACTCGTGTTTTCGCGCGTCCTAGGAGCTATCACGCGCGTGGACATGGCGCTGCCTCCTCCTCTTCCTCCTCCTCCTTGTCCTCCTCCTCCTCCTCCTCCTCCTCCTCCTCCTCCCCCTCCTCCTCCTTCTCCTCCTCCTCCTCCTTTCACTTGTATTTTGACGTGTCCCCAGGATACTTGGTAAATAGAATCGGCCGGCTCAATGCGCGAGGCCGTTCTCACCATGCCTGTTTACGCACGTTTCTCGGCATACTCCATTTCACCTTCATGTAACAATTTTCTCTCGAAGTTCAACATGGCGAGGGCCCGCAGGGGGACCCGCCGAATTGAGCCGGCGGGCCTCCAGGGGGAAGTTTGCGCGCACATTTTGCAATCAGTGGAGGCTTGGGATATTGCCTCGACGAGGGTCGGTACCAATCGTTGCAATGGCTTCTTGGGACCATACTGGCGTCCCATGGGGGATCGAACGGCCTCGGAGTGTAGATAACTCGTATTTTCACGTGTCCCAGGAAAGTGTGGGGCATGACATGCGCGAGGGGCGCGCCGAAATGATAGCGTCGCAGCCCTGAAGGCGCTGCTCACGCGTATCTTTCGCATGTCCCAGAAGGATGCCCGAGAGGAAGTGCCTGAGGGGTGCGCCGGGCCGCCGCTCTCCCAGCCCCGAGGGCGCACCTCGCTCGTGTCTGCACGTGTCCCAGGAGCTGTCACGCGCGTGGACATGGCGCCGCCTCCTCTTCCTCCTCCTCCTTGTCCTCCTCCTCCTCCTCCTCCTCCTCCTCCTCCTCCTCCTCCTCCTCCTCCTCCTCCTCCTCCTCCTCCTCCTCCTCCTCCTCCTCCTCCTCCTCCTCCTCCTCCTCCTCCTCCTCCTCCTCTCCCCGTCCTCCTCTTCTCCTCCCGCACTCCTGGAGCAATCCGACCTGCAGCGCTGGGAGCAAGGTTCGCATGTATTTTCACGTGTGCCCAGGAGGACTGTACGGAATCGGCCATCTTAAGACGGGCGGAGTGCGCGAAGCCGTTCCCAGCATGCCGTCACGCATGCGTCCCACCCATCCTCCATCCTCAATACCGTCATCTTCTCTCGACGGCTAACACGGCGAAGATCCGCAGGGGGCCCGCCGAATTCAATCGCTTCGCTCCTTGGCACATATTGAAGTATCGTTGGCACTTGCCTGCATGCTCGCGGGGGCATTTTTGCAGCCTCGTGGGGGCATCTCGGGGGCTTCTGAGGGTTTCTTGGGTGCCTTCTTGGCAGTCTCGGAAGCCATTTTTGGCGAAAGGGTCCGACATGTGAATTCGGATTCCCCTCTTCGGGCCTATTGTGCCATCTTGGAGTCTTCTTGGGCAGTTTCGGGGCCAGTCCTGGGAGCCTCTACGGCTGTGTTGGGCCAATATTGGGGCCTCTTTGGCCATCTTAGGCCATCGGAAGCTCGACAAGGTAGCGACGTCAAAGCTCAGGGGGCGCTCGTGGTTCCGAAAAGGTCACGCAGGAAGAACGCCAGGAACACAGAAAAGCAGACAGTTGATGACTCAATCTTGCGGACTGAAAATGACAAGGGGCCTCAGGGCATTCCAAGTCGTGCCCCGCGATTCCTCCTCCCCGTTGTTGCTCAGGCCCGGTCTGTGTTGGACGCGCCCAGGATCCCGCGCGTTGCCGTCTCCGTGGGGCTTAGTGGCCTCCGCGTGGATTCCCTCTGGACCCGCCTCGAGATGCCGAAGGTTTCGAGGCCCCAGGCCCCGATGCCTCAGGAACTGCTTGGTCCTGGGAAGCGGGGGCCATGCCACCGCAGCTGCTGAAGGCGGCGAGGGGATGGTTGAATGCAGCGGCGGCATTCTCGCCGAAGATCATAAGATCTCTGCTGGGGATGCCGCCAAGTTTTCGGGCGGAACCCAAGGTTGCCAGTTTCGGGCGATGCCGCTCAAGGCTGCCCGGGGCAGGGAGCTGGCCAGGCGGTCGACGGCAGACGCGGCGAAATTGCTGCAGCTGCGCATAGGCTTGACCCAGATGCCCAGGCTGACCAGAGGAGAAGGGGAGGCTCGGGGAGTTACTTGTGCGAGGTTGTCGGGGGTCTCGGGTCAGGTCAGCCCGTGTCTTAGCTCAGCAGGGCCGGGGGGCTCTGTGAGGTTTCTCCGGCCAGGCTCTCCTGGAAGGCCTCAGGGATCCTAGAAGGTGCGCGGATGTGCTGGGGGCCCTTGCGCAGGAGGTAGCTTCTAGAGTTGCTCGCGACACTCACAGGGCTAGGCAAGCGTGGCAGGACTTTGCCCAGGCGTCGGCGCTTAAAGGCGGTCGCATAGCACACCGTTTCGGCAAGGGCCCCAAGCCCGCCTTGCCCATCATAGGTCCTGGGGAGGAAGGAAGGCTTCCGCTCGCTGGCCACATGGCCCTTTCTAGAGAAACCCAGAGGAGCGCGTTCCCATCTGGACCCAGGAGGCCAAGGCCCAGGAGGAGCACCCAAGGTTTTGGGAGGTTACAGTTTTTCTCGAGCCCATCACCGAGGAGGGCGTTCGCTCGGCCTGTAGATGTTTCGCCAAAGTCACGGCCCTCGGATGGGATGGGTTGCATCCCAGATTTATCTCGCAGCTGCCTTCGGCAAGTGCCCAGAGCTTCGCAGGCGCGCTCAACGCGCGGGAGCGAAATCCGCTCGCCCCCTAACTCTGGATGGTTATGAGCGTTTTCCTGGACAAGCCGACCGGAGGAGCAAGACCGATCGGGCTGTTGCCGCTCTTGGCTCGCGTTTGGCCCAAGGTCCGACAGCGGGTTCGCGGCGCCTGGGAGAGGAGGAACTCGTCGGAGCTGCTCCGAGGCCAGAGCAGGGCCACGCCGTGAAATAAGAGCGCGCGACTTGACAACTCCCCCTGCGGCGCTTGCCCGACTGCGCAGACTGGTGCCAGGGGCGGCCGTTCTAGATTTAAAGAAGTTCCATGAGAGAATATCGCGCACGCTGGGCTCGGAGACGCCACGCCCCACGCTGGGTTTCTAGATAGCCCCTGGAGGAGCCGACGCTGCTAGCGTCGGCCGGAGGGGCGCGCAATGTTCCAGGGCGTCACGGGACGGCATTCGGAAGCCAACGGGACGGTCGCGGGATGTTCTTGCGCCGCGTCGCTGGCCAAGGCGCAGGCTAATGCCGCCCTCGAGAAAGCCCGCACCGACGCGCCAATCGCAAAGATTAAGAGCGTCAGTGCCGACGTCTCCCTTCAGGCGGTAGGAGGCGAATCCGCAGTTCCGACGCAGATGGGTGGTGCGTCTAATTCGGCTGCTAGGACTGCGCTGGCGAGAGGCCCGCCGACCTCGCAGCCCAAGGCCCGCTTCCTGGCAAATCCGCCCAGTCTCGCAACCAGGATGGCCGCGACGGGCTGCCCCTGGGACTTGCCGGCGCGGAGAGAGCCCACCGGGGGGGCACGGCGGGGGCGCGACAGACGGGCTGCCCCAGAGACTGGCAACGCACCTCGAGAGGCACTTGTCGGCACAGAAGAGAGCTCTCAGACAGCGCGCGCCTCGGGGAGCTGGAGACGCAACGTTCAGGGTTTATCCGCTTGGTCCAACGGCGATGGCCACGCGGGGCTCTTGCGCCCACGGCCTAGGAGGCGCTGGACTCCACTGCCCGAGGGCCCTGGCGGCGCACGCTCCCGCACGTCAGAGCCCACGCGACGGCACAGAGCGCGGAGCGGGATCAGGCTTCAGAGTTTGATCGCGCTGGCAAGAATGTTGCGGACCTGTTTGCGAAAAAAGAGGGGCAGCCTTCTGGCCCGAGCGAAGGAGAGCCCGATGCCTGGCCGGCTGGAGGACGTTGGTAGATTGCCAAATTTGCGGCGAAGTTGCCCGCCCCAGCGCACGGTCTCGATGACCGCGGCGGGGGCTCGGGGCACTTGTGGAATCGATTACCTCCAGCAAATCGACTTGGGGCTTGTCGAAATCCATCCGGTTTCGGGGGGAAAAAAAGAGTTCCTGGGGCGGACTCCCTGGGTCTTGATACCCCCACCTCCCCGAGCTTCCTGGTGGTGCTGCTGCCTCGGCCCCTCCTGGGCCCGCCTCAGTGGACCCCCGATGGCTGCTGGACAAAGGCGCCCAGCCTTGGCGCGTCAATCAGCATTGCGTTGTCCAGTGTGCTGTCCCAGAGGCCGAACCTAGATTATGTTGTTTTGCGCATGTGCAGCATTTCCCAACGCAAAGAGAACTCATTTGCGCCTGCAAGGGCCAGAAGCGCATCACAGGAGGGCCGGCGCATATCGTGCGGAAAGGCTTAGGGGCGGTTTTCACCTTGTTTTCTTTTCCCTCTCGTGGCCCCGGGGCCTCCGACGGCCCCGTCGGTCGAGGCGCGGGCCCGCTTTTTTTTTTCAACATGTCGGGAGGCCCTTGTCGCGGCGGAGTTTGGCCCCAGGGCCCCGATGGTTTCTCCGTTTTGGAAGCAGCCGAGGCGCTCGGTCGACAGGTCCTCCTGGGCCGAGCGGCAGCCCAGGACTCGCGTTCGGCGAACGCTGAACACGCTGAGGCCTGGGGCTGGCTTCGGGGGGTGGCTGGGGCCCTCTCGGCTGGACGCTTCCGAGGTGGGGCGCAGCCTCGGGCGAGGACAACAAAAGGTTCTCGGATGCCCCCCCACCCCAAATATCCTTTCTCCCCCCTCTGACGATACCTTCTATGGGTAGTGAACCTTCTCTTCCGCCTCCTCCTCCTCCTCCTCCTCCTCCTCCTCTCCTCCCTCCTCCTCCTCCTCCCTCCTCCCTCCTCCCTCCTCCCTCCTCCCTCCTCCTCTCCTCCCTCCCCTCCTCCCTCCTGCTCCTCCTGCTCCCTCCTGCTCCCTCCTCCCTCCCCCCCCCCCTCCTCCTCCTCTCCTCCTCCTCCTCCTCCTCCTCTCCGCCTCCTTCCTCCTCCGCCGCTCTCCTCATCCTCATCTTCATCCTCATCATCATCCTCCTCCCTTTTCCTCCTCCTCCTCCTCCTCCTCCTCTTCCTCCGCCTCCTCCTCTTCCTCCCTCCTCCTCCTCCTCCTCGTCTTCCTCCTCCTCATCCTCCTTCTCCTCCTCCTCCTCATCATCATCATCCTCCTCCTCCTCATCATCCTCCACCTCCTCCTCCTCTTTCTCCTCCTCCTCCTCTTCTACCCTCCTCCTCCTCCTCCTCCTCCTCCTCCTCCTCCTCCTCCTCCGCTTCCTCTCCTCCTCCTCATCTCCTCCTCCTCCTCCTCCGCCGTCTCCATCTCCTCTCCGCCTCCGCCTCCTCCTCCGCCTCCTTCTCATCCGCCTCCTCCTCCTCCTCCTGGTCTGGCCCTCCTGGCCTCCTCCTCCTCCTCCTCCTCTCCTCCTCCGCCCGCCTCCTCCTCCTACTCCTACTCCTACTCCTATTCCTTCGCCTCCTCCTCCCCCTTTCCCGCGCCCCATCCGTCTCCTCATGGTAGTAACCCTTCTTCCTCTCCTCATCCCTCCGCCTCCTCCCCCTCTCCTCCTCCCCTTTATCCGCCCTGCTCTTCCTCCTCCTCCGCGTCCTCCGCGTCCTCCTCCTCCGCCTCCTCCTCCTCCTCCTCTTCCTCCTCCTCCCCCTTTATCCTCATCAGCAGCATCATCATGATCCTCATCCCTGCTCCGCCTCCGCCTCTTCCTCATCCTCCTCCGTTTCCTCCTCCTCTTCCTCCCCTCCTCTCCTCCGCTTCCGCCCCCCGCTCTCCTCCTCCTCCTCCTCCTCCGCCTCCGCCTCCGCCTCCGCCTCATCCTACGTGTCTTCCTCCTCATCTCCTCCTCTCCTTCCGCCTCTCCGCTCTCCTCCTCCTCCTCCTCCTCCTCCTCTCCTCCTCCTCCTCCTCCTCCTCCTCCTCCTCCTCCTCTTTCTCCTCCTCCTCCTCCTCCTCGTCCTCCTCCTCCTCCTTCCTCCTCCTTCTCCTCCTCCTCCTCCTCCTCCTCCTCCTCTTCCTCCTCATCTTTCTCCGTCTCCTCCTCTTCCGCCTCCCCCTCCTCCTCCTCCTCCGCGTCCTCCGCGTCCTCCTCCTCCTCCTCCTCCTCTTCCTCCTCCTCCTCCTGCTCCTCCTCCTGTTCCCCCTCCTCATCCTCCTCCTCCTCCTCCTTCTCCTCCCTCCTCTCCTCGTCCTTCTTCTCCTACCCGCACTCCTGGAGCGATCTGGGGTCCAGTTCACTACTGCTTCTCATCCTCTCTGCTCCCGCCTTCTTGCCCTGGTCCTCCGAAGGCGACGGCGACCGCGACCATGGCGACGACGAGGATCGGAAGGCGTCAACTGACCGCCTCACCGATCCTGGCCGGGCTGGTCCTGGGCCCCGGGTGTGCATTATTCTTCCCCGGGCACAGCCAGGAGGGCGCATGCACCGACTGGTCAGCTCCAGGCATCGCCAAGCGGCGCGGAGACCACACCGTGTGGTGAGTTAGCGGGTATTCGGGGTGGCCGCACGCAGCGAAGGCAGTTCGGATGAACAGAAATCTGAAAATGATGATTGTAGTATGTCTGGTCAGGGGCACGACCACACGGAAGGGCAGGAATCCAGCGCAGATAGTTCCGATACGGAATCATTTTCTTCGTCAAGCTCCAGTGGCAGCTCCAGTGATCTCGAGCCTTGGCACACATGGATACAAAGATCTACGCATTACGCTACTCAGCAGATGGAAAACATGGGGTATGAAGAGTGGGTGACTATGCAACGAAGGTGCAAGTGGGAATGGGCACAACAACTTGTCATCAAAGACCACCACAAATGGAGCAATGCTGTATTCAAGTGGGATCCGGACAAGCAGCCATGGCCGGCACAGAGATCAACAGGAAGACCCAAACGGAGGTGGACTGACGATCTTGCAGCGGCGGTACGAAAGCACCATGGAGGTGGAAGCGATTGGATGACTATCGCAGAAAATTCCCGAGTGGGAAAGGATTGGACAATTATATGTGTCAGGCGACTGAATGAGCGGCGCCCCGGCGCCTCCTCCCGGCCCCGCGCGCGGCCGCCCTCTGGGGCGAACTGGGAGTTGCCTCTTGCCTCTTGCCTCTTGCCTCGGGGTGGCCGCACGGTTGTGGGGATTTGGGTCGGTCTCCGAGGAAGTCTCGGGCGATCGGGGGGGTCCACAACCGTGCGGTGACGGACTGTGCGAGGAGGTCTTTGGGGATGCCGAGGTCACCGCACGAGCTGCCGCCGCACCGTGTCGGAACCCCCAGCAGTGAATGTCCCCCGACAAGAGGGCGACGGTCAGGTCAGGTCAGGTCGGGCAGAGGCGTGCACCAGACGGTGCATGAGCAGAGGAAAAATGGTGATCAGTCGAATGTCTTCTGCATCCTCTCCAGCTTCTGACAACCAGCTCCCTCTCGCGTGCTGCACCGCTGCACCGCCCTCTCTGGGCGGAAGCAGTGCTGAGGCGCGCGTGCGAGCCGGCAATGTCCATGCAATTGCGCATCACGAGGTACATTTTTTGAGGTCGGCCTCTCCTCCTCGGACCGGTCGGCAGGCAGTTGTATGGCAATTGATTCAAACACCAAGCACCGCAAAGACGGTGGCAGCGGCGGCGATCGACGGCGGAAACGACCGCGGCGGCGGCGAGCAGCGCACGCCGTCTCCGCAGAGGCTCCTGCGGCACGTTTGCCGTACCCTCTCGTGGTTGCTCGTGCACTCGGAGTTCGACGGGAGCCGCGTCGTCGTCTGCCGCCGTTGTCCGTCGTCGTCCGTTGTCCGCCGCTAGCTTCAACGTCGCCGTCGTCATTGAGGAGGAGGCAGGAGGAGGGGGTGGTTGAGGGGATTTCTGGCGATTGTCGGAGCTCTCCAGGGTTTCCGCCGACCTTGGAATGCTCTTCGTATGCTGTATTCCCGCGGGGCTCGCGCCTTCGGCGAAGGGGTTCGTGTTCTTGTCCCACGGTAGTGTGACCATGTTCCGATTGCACAGGGAAGGTTGAAAACGTGGTTTGGGTCAGCCCATCCATTCGTTCCAGCCTGAACAGTTGCTGTCGAGTCTTTGCAGCACCGCCGGCCTCGTCCCAGCTGTGTTGGGCTCGTGTTTGGCCACTTCCACTTTCACTGAGTTCCCAGTCTCCACAGTTTCAAGCTTCCCTGCGGGATCCTGCAGAATCCCTGTGGGACGCCAACTATGCACCTGCACCGATCCTGGCCGGGCCAGCCTTGGGCCCAGGATCGGTGCACGTACGCCCGCCTGGCCAGAGCCAGGAGGGCGTTCTGGCCAGGGCCAGGACCATCGCAGGTGTGTAGTCAAAGGGCGTCCCCAGTTCGGACGGTTCGGTTGGTTGCTGTGTCGTTGCTGCATCGTTGCGTTTTTCGTGGTTGCAGGCGCGGCGAGTGGAGCGCCGTCGATAGCATCGAGCTTCAGCAAGGCTACGGGGGGGGAAGCCAACAACAACAACAACAACAATCATTTTACCCGAACGCGTGGTGTTCTCCCCAGTGCCAGGGTTTTCATACGACACCAGGCAATACCCCCACTTCGTGGGGGGGCATTACAAGCTCTACCAAATATCCAAACGACTCTTCGCGACCACCCAAACCCAGCTTCCCGCCCTATGACGTTGGGACACTTCACTTCGTGGCGTGCGGACGACCGTGGCTACTACACTGGCGTGGGGTACACACCCACAGAACCCAATGGTTTTTGGAGATTTCGGCGTGCGCGCGCGAAGAAAAAACGAATGTGTCCCGCATGGTATTATTTGACAGGGATGATGGCCCTGGCAGGTGCGCAACCGTTGTCGCAGAAGTTCGAAAAAGTTGCTCGCAAAAGCCCGTTTGACAGAAATGTTTAAAAAGTGTTGGTTTTCCTACGAATCCGCAAGAGCGCGCGGGATGAGATTTTGACATTTTTTTGTTGAAAAACCATTGGTTTTTTGATGTTTTTATGTTAAAATCGCTCCGAACACTAAGCTTTTGGAAGGATTTCGTCTTGCGCGCGCGATGTCCACTTTACCTTATTTTTTGCAAGGGATTCTTGAAATTTGATTATATTAGAACAAGAAATGTCATTTTATAGTGTTTTTTGCAAGGGAAAACGGATTACAACAAAACAACCGGATCTTGATCACCTCGAATTACCTGAGGCTTCCTCACGAAAATGATGAAAACGTGGCTGCGGCCTAGGCGCGGCGGGGGGGGCGCGCACCAGGGGGCCCAACAATAATTATTCTTTAGAATTAATAATGTTCAACAACAACAACAGCAACAGCAACAACAACAACAACAACAAGAAGAAACACGTTGCGCCTTTCGTGGCTGCTTGCGGCCTGTCGGCGCCAAGCCTTGCCAGAGAGTGACGCGGTGTCGCTTTGGCAACGCGGGGGCGTGTCGCAGGGGCCGCCGCAGCGACGCGCTAAGCACAGGTTCATCAACGGAGTTGGCGTCCTCCTGCATGCCCCTCCTGTGATTAAATCGGGCATGTCCCTCCACAGGGGGAATAGTCAAAAATAGTCGAAAAACAGTATGGGGGCGATGTTTTAGATTATTTGTTGACTAGTTTGGAGTATGTTGCGGCTATTTATCATTTGTCGCTCAAAATCCGCCTGCAGGGGGACATGTTCGACCTAATCCTAGGAAGCGGATACTCCAAGTTTCTTAATAAGCGTCGGGGGGGCGTCACCCCCGCCGACAGCCCCACATCGACCCCCGTCGCGGGCAGCCACCGCGCGCCGAAGGCGCTCCGACCCCCGTCGCGGCGCGACGACGAAGCGAGGTTGACCCCCGTCAGGGATGTACCCCCCCCCCCGGCTGATTAAGAAACCCAGAGTAGGCAGGACTTGTCAACGTGAACCCCAATGCACACCAGACAAGAAAGTGCATTGGGAGCGGTTACTTCGAAGATATTCAGGATCGGCGAATGCCAGAGCATTTTGGTTGTCTAACCTCTAATGGATTGCAAGATGTGGCGAGGGCGTGGCATCAGCTTCACCATCATCACCTTCATAGTTTGTTTGATAGTCGACACCACCACCACCACTATCACCACCACCACCACTACCATCATCATCATCATCATTATCATCCTCCTCGTCGTCGTCGTCAGCAGCAGCAGCATAATCGCAATAGTCATCATCATCATCATCAGCAGCAGCATCAGCATCATCAGCAGCAGCAGCATCAGCATCATCATTATCATCATAATGATAATCATCATCAGCAGCATCATCGTCACCATCATTATCATCAGCATCATCATGATCATCATTGTCATCAGCAGCATCATCATCAGCATCATCATCAGCATCATCATCATCAGCAGCAGCATCAGCATCATCATCAGAATCAGCAGCATCATCAGTATGAGCATCATCATCATCACCATCACCATCACCATCACCACTCATTTCATCAACATCATTGACATCATCAGCATTAGCAGCACCATCATCACCACCTCATCATGGGACGGTGGTCGATCTGGTTGCCCTGGCCTGTTCCTGGGTATCCCCGAAAAGCGTTCGGGAACTCGTGTTTGCCAAGGTTTCGATAGTAACCCCGCTGAAGCTTGTTCGGCGGATGGTAGCTGTTTCTCTGCGCGCTGTCCATCGCGACGCGGGATCATCGTCATCACCATCACCATCCAATCATCAGCATCATCCCCATCATCATAGAAAGCCTCGCCAGGACAAGGCATGGCAGGAAGGCGCCGCCATCCCCGCGTCTGAGAATGCAGCGGCATTGGTTTGAACGAATAATCGTCATCATTGTCGTCACATCTTGGTTGTCATCAGCATCATCTGTGATCTTCTCCAGCTCAGCCCGGAACCTCTGCGTGCAGGAGGTTTGCGCATCATCAACATCATCATCATCATCATCATCATCATCATCATCATCATCATCATCAGCATCAGCATCAGCATCAGCATCAGCATCAGAAGCAGCATCATTAGCATCATCATCATCAGATCATCATTATCATCAGCATCATCAGCATCATGATCATCATGATCATCATGATCATCGTGATCATCATTATCATCATCATCAGCATCATCATCGTCATCGTCGTTCGTCATCGTCCTCATCATCGTCATCATCATCATCAGCATCATCATCACTACACAGTACCATCATCATCATCATCATCATCATCAACATCATCATCGTCATCATCATCATCATCATCACCATCACCATCACCGTCAGCGTCAGCGTCATCATCGTCGTCGTCAACGTCGTCGTCGTCATCAGAATGCCGAGGAGCACCCTCCTCGCCGAGTCCCTGCGCCCCATCGCCTCCGAGTGGGCGCTCCGCGGGCTGTCCGCCTCCCCCCCGGCCGCGCTGGCGGCGCTGCTAGTGTTGGCGGGCAACTGCGGCGGCCTGGAGGGGAGGCGGCCTCCCAGAGAGGGCGGGGGGGGGGAAGAAGAGGAGGAGGAGGAGGAGGAGGAGGAGGAGGAGGAGGGTCCGTAGCCATTTTGGCTCAAGGCCATTTCGGGAACTCGACCCCCCGTCTCAAGTGGCCTGGCCCGCCGCGCGCGAGTGAGACCCTGGAGAGTTGCCCCAGGACAAGGGTATCCGCACTCTTTTCTCCCCTGCGGCGTGTCCGCAGCACACCCAGCTCTGCCTACGGTACCTCCCGTCTCCCTCTCGCCACATCTGTTCCGTGCAGGCTATGGAGAGCGATGGACATCGCGAAGCGGCGGCTGCCGCGACTCTCGAGGCGCTCGAGGCCATGCCAACATTCCCATCGCAGGAGGTCGCCACTCCCCAACGTGCTGGCCCTCCTTTTCATGCTGATGATGAACTTCCTGACGGCCAACCCCCAAGCAAGCGTGCTGTCATCTCCTCAACGCACGGGGTCGTCAACAACAAAGGTTTGGGAAAAGGTCACGCCGCCGCATCTGGCGCCTCCTCACCCACTTCAGGTTCGTGCCCTGGTCATGGCAATGGAGTGCCCCCACTACCTGGAGGTGGCCCACAGTCTGCAGAGGAATTGGTCGCGATTCGTGCCCATGTGGATGCAGTACAAGCAGCGTTGCAGCAGTCTATTGCAGCAGTGCAGAACAGTGTGCAGGCCTCCCTCACATCAGTTTCGAATAATATTACATCGTCGTTCCGAGACATCAGCCATGCTATGGAATCGAGGATCAACCGCGTGGAAAATCGCGCTGATGACCAAGACAAGCGGTTGGACCGCATCGAGAACCAGATCGCTCAGCTTCGGCAGGAGCTGCAAGTGGTCCAGAGTGAAGAGCCGCAACCGCCTCTCCGCCCAATCTCGGGCTCCAGCTTCAACAGGGAGATCGACCGCTCAGTGGTGGTCATCCGCTCCCCGAAGCTGGTCACGAAGTCGAACATGCAGAACGCCCTGGCGGACTGGCTGCGAGACTGCAACATTAACGAACAAGAGTACACCTTCGACGAGCAAGAGCCTGCTGGCATCATATTCACGATGCGCTTCGCTGGTGCCAAGAACTACGCCGAGCGGAAGGTCAACCAAGTCCTGGGCGCCCTCAAGACGCCCTCCCCTGGCAATGCTCCTCCAATTTGGAGGTCCTTCCGAGCGGAATCGATCGCCGACGGCACAGTCAACCTGTTCGTCGGTCCTGACAAGAACACGGAGATGGCGCGCCGCGAGCTGGGCTGCAAGAAGATCAAAGGCGTGCTGGTCCGCGAGTTCCCGCAGAAGCGCTTCTTCCTGGAAAGGCACGAGGGCGAGATACTACTGGGCCGGAAGCCGATATGCAAGGCCGTCCCTGTGGAGGGTCAAGATATGCCGAATTTGTTGCGGGCGAAGGAGAGCATGCGGGCTGAGGGTATGGATGCGCAGCGCATCCAGCAGCTTGCCGCCGATGCCTTCGGCCCCGTCACGGAGACAGCGTGGAGTTCCTAGCACGCTCAGTACCATGTGGCATGGTCAAGCCAAGCATGACGGTTCGCTTCACTTCGACTTGCGAGTGGTCACATGGAATGCGAGGGCGCTATTTCACCACGATGACTCACTGAGGGCGCAAAAAGTGAGGCTGCTGCGCCGTCTCGTGCTGTCTGGCACGATTGACGCTTTGCATGAGACGCACGGTGCCCCGTGCGATGTCAGGGGCCTTCTCCACTCCCTCCTCCTCCCCCTCCAGGCGCATTGGTCCTTTCATAATGGTTTTCGTACTGGGGGCGTGATCACCATTTTCCCACGGTTCTTTCCAACCGAATCCCGCAGGGTCTCGTTGGGCGGCGCCCTCCCTCCTGTCTCGCCCGCCCCTCTGATCCCTGGCCGCGTACTTCAGACCGAGATAGGGGCTGTGAATGGGGGGTGCTGGATCCAGCACTTAAACATCCACAACCACGGCCTCTCCGTGGCTGCCAAGGCAGCTTTGTTCGGCGCGATGGCCGCCGCGCTTCAGCAGGCACAGGGACCCCCTCAATAGATTGGTTCTCATCGCTGGGGATATGAACCTCTCATCCCATGAACCCATCCCTCTCAACCCCCCGAATGGTGACTTCAGTGTGTTTACTGACCCTCACCCCCGCCCCCCCCCCCCCCCCAGGGACTGGAGTCGGGCTTTAGCCCCCCACGGTGGAGTTTGAACTTCTCTCCCCCACTCATTTCAACAGTCAAAGTTCGTCGCTTAGTTTCCTGGACAGGATCTTCTCCTCGCTGCCTGGCTGGATTCTCTCGCAATACGCGTCGGGCGGGGAGGTCACTGAACATCCTGAGGTGCTGGGCGCGAAGGGTCTCTCCGACCACGCGCCTGTCGCTGCTCACATCCGCGTGCGACCGCCCAGGCCTGAAGGGGACAGGCCGATCCCCAAGGGGCTGTTTGCGTCGGCCCCGTACAAGTTCTTTCTACATCGAGCGACCCGGGCGGCCTCTGTTGACCACCGCCCCCCCCCCCCCCCCCCTGCTCACGAGCACTACAAACTCCTGATGGCGGAGGCGGCGCGTTTCGCCGGAAACCAGCTCATCCAGAAACGCCCCCACATTCACATTTCCCGATTTCTGGTCGCCCGAGGAATGGCTCGAGCTTTGTTCCGCCAGGACTGGGTCTTGGCTCAGCGCCTTTTTCAATCTCATCCTCTTTGCCGAGAGCACCTCCTCCTGGACCCGAACACGTTCGATATCTCCCTCCGCAACCCTCTCCTCTTCACGGCCCTCTCCAACGAGCTCCACCTCAAGACTGCTCAGACTACGGAGCGTGCTCTCCAGGCTAGTGATCAGCGGCTATCGCGCCCGTCTGCGATCGCCCGTGTCTCTGCTCGCGCTCGCAGGGTCAATCGTCTCGCGAGACTGCGGCCCCCGTTCGATCGGAGACTGATGCTGTCGGGCGTTCGCAGGAGCGGAGGCGAAGTTGCACAGACGCCCTCAGCGATCCTTTCGCATCTGGCTCAGCAGTGGGCCCCGATCTTCACTGCTAAGGAGCACCGCGACGAGGAGGCAGAAGCTTTCCTGGATAGGTTCCCCCCCAAATGCGTTGCGTGGATACCCCCCCCCCACCCCCACCCCACCCCACCCCACCTATCAGCACATCCAGCGATACCTCAAAATCCAGACCCACAGTGCCCCAGGTCCTGACAGACTCCCATACTGCGCTTGGCACTTCGCTCCTCGTGGCGCCGACGTGCCCCGCAATTCGATGCGCTGGATTCACTCTGGGCAAAGCTTGCTTTTTGGTTACAACGAGGTCAGAGGAGTCTTTATCCCCAAGGGGACTGACCCGCCAGGAGAAGCCGCCGGCACCCGCCGCCCCGCGGAGACGAGACCCTTGGGGCTGAAAAACTGCGACAACAAAGTGATCACGGGAGTCTCTGTGAAACCTCTGACCCTCTCTTCCTCCCCTCGGCCTCGACGAGGCCCAACGCGGTTTCGTTCCCCGCCGAAACTTTGGACAGAACATTCTGGAGCTCGACGCCGTCGGGCGGCAAGCCAGCATGCGCGGTGCCCCCCTCCTCCGCCCCCCCTCCCCCCTCTGTTATGACTCCGGGCATGCTTTTCCCTCCATGGCCCGGCGTTGGCTGTTCGCGGTCCTGAAACGAATGTCCCTTCCTCCCGCTCTCCTCCACCTCCTCTTGGATCTGTATTCTGGCGTCATCTGCACTGGCCTCATAGGTGGTCTCGAACAGGTCCTCTTCTGGGTCACTAGTGGGATTCTCCAAGGCTGCCCTGCGAGCGGCACGCTTTTCGCTATTGGGGCTGATCCTTTTCTTCGCACGTTTAGGGCTTTGCTGGAATCTCGAGGCAAAGGCATAGCAAGGGCCTGCGCAGATGGCATAGGCGCAATTTTATTCCCGCTATTGGGGCTGATCCTTTTCTTCGCACGTTTAGGGCTTTGCTGGAATCTCGAGGTAAAGGCATAGCAAGGGCCTGTGCAGATGACATAGGCGCAATTTTATTCCAGCTGAAGGATGGGGTGGTCCTGGCCTCTGCCTTCCGCGTGGCGGAGACACTCGCGCGCCTCTCTTTGAAGGTGCAGAAGTGCAAGCTCGTGCCGCTCGCTGACAAATTCTCAGATAGGTTAGCTCGTCGTTATCTTCGACTCCTGTCATCTCTGGCCCCGAACTGGTCGGATTTCGAGATTTCTCCTATGGCGCTCTACCTCGGCCTCTGGCTGGGCCCCGCGGTTTCCCCATGGACCTCGTGGAGAGCCCCATGGACCAAGTATCTCCAGCGCGCTCGTGCTCTGTCGGAGGTTGGGGCCCCATTGGAGCGAACGGCATCGATCTACGCGCGACGAGTGCTCACTGTCCTCTCGCATGCTGGCCAGTACCAGCTCCTCTTGCCCGAGATGAGGAGAAAAGAGGCGGCCGTCCTGGCCAGTACTTTCAAGCTTCCCCGCTACAGAGTGGACGAGCAAGGCTGGCCGAATCTCGAGAAGTGGGGCGGCCCACACATCAGGAGCATTTGGTGCACGAATGTCGCGCAGCTGGTGCGTGCGAGTCTTTTCACCTTCCCAGGGTGGCGCCCTCTGTTCGACAGCCTGAAGTCATGCGCAGAGGACTCGCTCCCGCTCGTCACCATTCTCAGCGGTCGCAGTTGGCCCGACTTCTGGCGCCCGCAGCTGCGGCCCGAGTTCTGGGAGTCCCCCGCGATGGTCAGCACCCTCGAAGCAGCCTCACAAGGGTTCCCCGCTTCAGATCCTCTCCGTGATATACGCGCACCTGCCATTCTTCAGCTTCAACATATCCAACACCAACATACTCAACGTCATCTGCCTCGCACTCCATCCTCGGCGCCATCTTTCTCAGCTTCTTCATTCTCTTCTATTCCCCGACAGGCTCCGAGAACTCTTTCTTCGACGTCTCAGGTCCTGGTTCCCGCACAGTGCCCAAACCATCGCTCTCATCCCGTGGCCTGAAGTACGCACCTCCCTTCTCAATCTCCCTCCCTCCTGGAGAGCCGCCATCGTGCGAACCCTAGTGGGTGGTTGGATCACGTCCTCAAATTTTCAGGGGCAAGAACCCTGCCCGTGTTGCCGGCATCCTCCGCACTCGCTTCGCCACCTCTGGTCTTGCCCTGTCTTTCTCACCCTCTTGGCTCGCACCGCGCGTGTCCTCCAGCTCCCCAATTGTCCTATCGCCCGCCTCGGTCTCAGTCAGCCCTCTCGCTGCACATTCAGAGTTGTCGTGTACGCTGTTCACCTTCACAACGAGATTAGGACCTCACCGCCCCCGGTCAGTACGAGGACGAGCGGAGCCATCATAAGGCTGGTCCGCCACCAGGTCGCCCGCCCAACGACCTGATGGACCAGGCCCGCGGCTACGCTCGAGGAGGAGGAGGAGGAGGCGGAGGAGGAGGAGGAGGAGAAAGAGGAGGAGGAGGAGGAGGAGGAGAGGAAGGAGGAGGAGGAGCAGGAGGAGGAGGAGTCATTTGCGGGCACACCCTGTCCGCAGTTGGCCTCTGCTGGGCGGCGCCGATCGTCGGCCCTGATCGCTCGCGCCCGGCGCGATCGATCGCGATCGACCGCCCGGGAGGCCGGGCTCGACGCGCGCCGCGCAGCCGCGCGACACTTGCGGCAGGGGTCCATCTGCGCCTCCCTGGTCTTTGCCGCGGGTTGCGGCACTGCGGCCGCGCCAACGGCCTCCGCAGCGAGGAATGCCGTCGGCGCCTCCCTGCGCCCGCCCGCGGGCGCCGCAGGCATCGGCACGGCTGGCCGGGCTGAGTCAGCCTGGCACCGACACCAGCGACAACGATGGGCAGAAGCAGCGCGGTGCAGCTGTTGGCGGAGCATTCACGCGATCGTTGCAACATTGGCATGCAGCTGTGGCGTAAAGGTCGAGATGCGGCACGCGCACTGCCCCAGCTGCAGTTCTCACTGGAAGGCAGCGCAGCGGCAGCCCACACAACCGGACAAGGGCATCGGCAAAGGCAATAACAAGAAGGGCAAGGGCAAGAACTCGGTGGCGTCCAATGAAGGCGCCGACCAACAGCATAAGGACATGCCACCATGGGAGGAGTTGGTTGTGGCAGAGCCGAGCCTCATGTACGTCCGAGCTGCTACGCCCTCAGAGTTCCCCCAGAACAAGGAATACAACAAGGAGCTCGCGGACGCCAAACCGCACATGGACGAGTACAGGAAGAAGAACTTCACGATGAAGATCGCTGAGGGCGCCAGGACCCTTGAGAAGCAGTTCAGGCTGGCCAACCAGATGAAGGAGGACACCAGCGAGATCGCATCCAAGCTTTCAATAAATCGGGGAATGTTGCAGGTGGTCAAGACGCACGCCCAGCAGACCACGGTTTGCGACAGCACTGCGAAGAAGCCAACGGCAAAGGCAGAAGCACAGAGGAACAAAGTCGACAAACCCAAGAAGCAGTACGGCACGGGCACAAAAGCGTTGAGCAGTTGATGGCGGAGACCGCGCCCACCGTGCCAACAGTGG